GCTTCACAGCACAGCATTGTGTTCCACACAGGCTGACGGCATGCGGAGCCTGGCACAGAACCTCGCGGACCTACTGTGGGATACAGACGGAGAGCTGGTCTGGATGGCCCTCTCTGTATTGAACAATGATATCCAGGACAGAGACATCCCAATCTCCACCCCCACTGCCCTGCAGCTGGCAGAGATGCTCCAGCCACTCTTTGGCTACGTAAGGCTCTGTGCCCCCCATCACAGGCGCTGGCTGCTGCCAGGAAACTGTGGCCTGTGGATTTGCAGGCTTTGCTCCAGCACCCGGTAGGCCTGGAGCAGCCGGTGCTGAGGTCTTTTCCTCTTCCTTTCCATCAGGACAACATCCACGTGCAGGTGCTCTCCATTTCCCTCTTCCGCAAGGTGATGGAGTTGGGAGTGGATGAGAGTAAAGAACTCCTGAAGACACAAGTGGTCTACAGCCTGCTCCCACTTTTCTTCCACTGCCATAACGAGAACCAGGACGTGGCAGAAGTGAGAACTTGCAGGGTCTGGTGTCCCCGCGGCAGGGGGCTGGGCTGTCTCCTGCCCTGGCACCTCAAAGGCTTCAGTCTCCTGCTGGCCTTGGTCCAGGGACACGGGTCCTGTGCCCTGGGCTGCCATGCCATGTCCTGGTCTCTGTTGCTCTGCAGGCCTCTCGGGAAGCGCTGCTTCGTGCGGCGCGGTTGCTGAAGAGGAGGGATCTTGTCAAGCTGCTGAAGGCAGAGCAGCCTTGGAGGTTCAGTGAGTGCCTGGTAAGGACGACCCCAAACCCCAGTCCCCGATGCCCAGAGTGCGGGGCTGGCACTGTGCCCCTGCCCACCGCTGCAGCCGCCTGTGGGACAGCAGCCTGCGCCCCACCCGCTGCTGCCTTGCCTGGGCCGTGCGGGCAGGGGAGGCCAGTGCAGGGCGCAGGCAGCGCCCGGCCAAGGGGCAGAGCCCCAGCCAACCCTTCCCTCTGTGCCCTGCCTCTCTCTGCAGCTGAAAAAGGACCGGAACCAAGTGGTCCAGTACCTGCACCAGGCCCTGCCGCACCTGCGCAGCCCACAGCAGCCCCTGCGAGAGGCGGCCCTCAAGTTCATAGGTGAGCCACAAGGTCCCTCCCCGCCCCGCCGCAGCTCGGCCCCAGCCCCAGCTGCTGCAGCGGCAGCACCATGCGGCCCCGGCATGTGCTGGGGAGCCCCGGGTGCCCTGGCGGCTGCTGCCGCCCTGTGCCAGCCCAGCCCTGGGGCGTCC